CTCTGGACACTCCACTCAAAGCACCACCACCAACCTGGATAATATGACGACAGTGCCAGTCCGCTCCCCACACACCAGCTCTCAGTGGGGAGGAGACCAGAGGGATGAAGTCAGTTCAGAGATGGGGATTAAGATATATTGGCCATATACAATTTCTTGTATTAGGAATTTGGTACTTTTCTCATACCCCAGTTTACTCCCTATGAGAGGCACAGACGGGGAGAGAAGCTGGGGGTCAGAGCGCAGGGTCAGCCATTTATACGGCGCCCCTGGATCAGTTGGGGTGAAGGGCCTTGCTCAGGGGCCCAATGGAGTAGGATTCCTCTGCCGACCGCGGGATTTGAACCGTCAACCTTCCCCCCTTAGCCGCAGAGCCACCGCAGTGCCCACTGCCCTGAGTGGAGTGTCCAGAAAAGTGCTACATGGGTGTAAGCAATTATTATTAGGAGGCCATGATTGGTAAAGGCCAGGAGGAAATTTGCCCAGGACACCATGGTAACATCCTTGCTCTCTTCGAGAGACACCCTGGGAGTTTTAATGACCACAGAGAGTCAGGACCTCAGTTTTACATCTCATCTAAAGGACGGCATCTTTTTATAGAGGAGTGTCCCCATCACTATACTGGGGCATTAGGACCCACACAGACTGCAGGGTGAGCGCCCCCTGCTGGCCTCACTCACACCTCTTTCAGCAGCAGCTTTAGTTTTTCCCAGGAGGTCTCCCCTCCAGGTACTGACCAGGCTCACGCCTGCTGAGCTCCAGGGGGCTGCCAGTTGCAAGCTGCAGGGTGACATGGCTGCTGGCTTCTCTTCACGTGCGCCAGGAAGAGGAAATGCTGCTGAAATTGTGTCGTTTGCTCTTTTGCTTCGCTGCTCCCCCAGGCTGGTGGGTTTCCGAAGAGCTGGCTGGAGGCACTCCTCAGCCACCTGCAGACAAGAGCACAGATCTACACAGTGCAGCAGGAAGGAGGCCGGCCTGTGAGCGTGGGGGCATCTTTTAATATCACAGGGGCGTCAACGCCTGAGAAAACATCACTGCGAGAGCAGTAACTCTTCACAGCCGCTCTGGGGACGTCCCCACAATTGAAATAGGTTTTTTTTTAGAACTCAGATGGCATCTTTTTCTAAGGCTAAATGTGCCCAGCGCCCTTTTTTGGGGGGGTCCATTTTCACACCCTGTGCAATTTCACTTGAGCGAGTTTGGGGGCGCCAATAAGAATAACGAGCATCAGTTGAGAGTCCCCTCGAAGCCCCCTGTGCGCATGCACGGCAGAGGCAGAGACCCTTCTTCCTTCTGCCATGTTGCTTCAGCCAAGTATGTGCTGAATCACAGGGCTTGTTGTTAAACTCTCAACACAGACATGGACTTTTTCTCAAGCTCTTGCAAGTGACAGAGATTTTTCATCAGGAGTTTTATGTCCAGAGTTACACACGTATGCACTACAATCATTACTGACATATTCGTGTATATTCCCTGATGCTTAAAATGAGTCCTCATGTTGCTTTTTCAAAATATGCGACTATCACTTAAAGAATTACTTAAAAGTATTTTCTCAGTTTGTAAAAAAGCATCTGGAACATCCTACAAGTCTTTGTTTGCTCCACAGCATGTCTCAGTGCTAAAGGTATCACCCACCAAATGTCTGCCCCATGTGAACGATTTGTACTAACCGTGTGTATAAAGATGGAAGTTTACATTTCTTTTTTAGCAGTGCTTATTCTGTACTCATACACTTTATGCCTGTGACTGATGTTAGCCTAGTATTTGTGTAGATCGTATATAATGAATGTACTATGGTCAGTGACTTGGTAGCAGAAGTTTATCACTTCTGTTCTGTCACATTTTTGTACATTCATACACACTAATCATCAAAATAAATATTACTGCACGTACATTTTAAGAAAATTCAAGAACATATTCATCACATGTTTTTTTGGTGTCATTTTTGTGATTGATCATTCATGACTAACGGTCATACACCTGAGTGACAGACAGTTGTATATCCACTAAGTTACCATGTTAGTGGATCAGTGAGTTGGTTGGACACAGGTAAGGTGATTTAACATTTTTAATGTCAGACCTGGTGAAATTTAATAATAATGTATAAAGACGGGCGGAGCGGGGGCTCTGTGGCTCAGGATCTGCGCCTGTGGCTGGAAGGTTGGCGGTTCGTATCCCGCGGCCGGCAGAGGAATCCTACTCCATTGGGCCCCTGAGCGAGGCCCTTCACCCCAGCTGCTCCAGGGGCACTGTACAAATAACTGACCCTGCGATCTGACCCCCAGCTTCTCTCCCTGTCTGTGTGTCTCATGGAGAGCAAGCTGGGGTATGAGAAAAGAAAAAATCCTAATACAAGAAATTGTATATGGGCAATAAAGGGATCTTATTTATTTAAAGACACAGCAGACAAATATGCCCCTGTTATCAAGAGAACACTGTTGCTCACTGGCTGTTGTGTTTACAGCTGGTAGTATAACCTGGCAAAACATTACGGTAGAACGAACAATATTTCAATGGCCACGTTCTGGTAGTTCTTACAGAGCTCCACTTGAGTACTGATTGATGGCAACCTACCTGCACATCATGAACTTGATCCAGTCCCGAGTCCTCACTGGCTCTCCTTCCTGTGGGCTCGTCCTCTTGTGACATCATTCCAGCAGCACAACACACACTGGTTGTGTAACAGTGGCTATGTTGCAAGATGAGAATGTAATCATTATGTTGCAGACTTTTCTACTCACCAGAATCAAGCCCCACTTTTATGGGATGAAGATAAGATCACTTTATTGGCCATATGTAATTTCTTGTATTAGGAATTTGTCTTTTCTCATACCCCTACTTGCTCTCCATGAGACACACAGACAGGGAGAGAAGCTTGGGGTCAGAGCGCAGGGTCAGCCATTTATACAGCGCCCCTGGAGCAGCTGGGGTTAAGGGCCTTGCTCAGGGGCCCAACGGAGTAGGATTCCTCTGCCAGCCGCGGAATACAAACTAGCAACCTTCCAGTCACAGATCTGTGGCAGATCCTTAGCCACAGAGCCACCAGTCCACCCCTGGGTGCCTGGGACGCCTTGTGGCCTCTAGGACTCAGAGACCAGTGAACAGGCCTGTCCTTTTCCTGCTCTATGTCAAAACCTCTACAGAATCCCACAAGGCAGCAGCTGCAACCTGCTGCAAAGCATGTGTCACAGATGTACAATGTATATCGCTCACTACGGTTACCACAGACTCTACTAACCTCTGTGGATAATCCCTGCTGAGGAACAGTGTATATCATCATGTCGGATTTACCTGTCATGCCTGTTCAATGAAATGTCAGCACGCCTGCAACAAAACGTTGCTCTGTGTGAACGTCTCTGGCTTCAGGCCTTCGTTTTCCTTGATCTTCCTCCCACCTCTTTCCAAAACTCTGAATCATCTCCTGTTTAATCATCTTCCTGAAAGAACAGACTCACACCAACCCAAGACATCTTAACAGCTTCTTTGTATTCATGTTATTTATAATTTTAGATCTGAATATTTATTTTTAAAAAAGCATGAAATAAAAAATAATATAAGCTTACGTTGCTTGTTATAGTTCGCACAGATCCCATTCAGTATGTCGTATTACTGTACATAGTTAACAGGGAAAAGTGTGTCACGTTTTTTTCATCAGTTGTGTCCTCTGGAGATATTAGTTGCAGTACATACTTTATAAAGGAATAACCTTCAAGTGAATCCCTTGTGAAACACTTTAATGAACTCCTTAATCGGTAGAGATGTGGAGCAGGGGTGAACAGCTGATCTGTCTAATTGGAAGACTGTTGCTCATGTTCTTTTTGTGAGTGTTCAATTATTTGAACATCAGTTCAGCACGTGCCCATATTCTATTGTGGTGTTTTTACTTTGGTGTTTTTCTCTTCCCTTTAAGTCCCTGGCTTTCTGGAAATGATTCCTCGTGCCACTGCACAGCTTGTTTTTTTGTGACCTTGTCTGTCTTTAAAATGAGATCCCACTGGACACACATGGCTGTTGCAAGTCTAGTATCTTTTTACATTTACTGCTTGCGGATCAGCAGGGTTAGCTCATAACGAGCAAGAACTGAATAGATTAAAAAAAAATAAGTGATTTGATGCCCTACACAAACACCCAATGTTTATTAACAAATGAAAGTGAGAGTGCACTGAAACTGAGGTGTTTTTGGTAGATGCTGCCCTAGACAAGATAAAGAATGAAACAAACGTTCTTCTGTTCCGATCAATTGCTCATCCGTCCCGTCCGAACTGTGTGCTCCACAAGGGGCTGACAGGTTTCCCCCAGGTCCAGTGGGATGTGTCTTAGCTTTCAGCTTCAAAAAGCAGCGCTGCTGTGAATCAGTTGCTTTAGCTCCCCTTTCCCAGCGCGGCCCTGCTGTCTACTTTGCTTTTAGACGTCCCCAAAGAAGGCTCCACAGCCGAAACGTTGTGTCTCTTTTCTTCTCTTTCCAGCAGGGAATTAACCTTTACTTGTTCCTTTGCAGACTACACATGATGACGCAGCTCCCCGCCTGAACTACTGAGAAAAGATGGCAATGATGCTGAAGCATAAGACATAACCATTCGCAATGTAATCGACTTATTTCGTTTGTCCTTGACTCTCGACTTCAGTCTTAAATATCATTTCATTTACGGATTCAAGATCTCGGCACCACTTAACAGGCGCAAAAGGCTGCACTGAGGCCAGAACAAGACTATCAATATCACTTATTTGCTCGTTCTTCAAGCTGCAACTGGATAGGAGTGGGGATACTGGGATACGAAGATGCACAGGTGTATTTTAAGCTCCCTTTCGGTGTGGTCCAGATTCACCCGCATCTCGGGTTTGGCGCTGCGCTGCGTTGTTCGACGCTACAGCCTTTTCCACAACCTTTTCAGCGTAGACGGACGGAACATGTAGTAAGAGGGAGCGACCAGCAGACGGAGCAGATTTCGCACAATTTTTCTGCCTCCCCCTCCCTCCCACCTCCTTGGCTGGACTTCAGCGTCGTACAGTAGAGGCGCAGCCGCAGTGGGCTGGCAGGCACTTGGAGAGGAAATTCGCGAGCAGTTGTAGTCTCCGTGTCGGTTATTGCTGGATACAAATACTGTATACAGTGCGTTACATTTAATATAAAGGAAGGGGCAAAAAAAAATGGCGACGCCGGGATCGGATTCCCAGCCCCATTCCCAGCTCGCTTCTGGTTTGGCTCAAGGTAATGTCAGTGGTGTGGGGTATCACAACATGCCGCTCAATCGGGGTCTGGAAAGGACTTTGGAGGAGGCGGCGAACTCCGGGGTGTTGAACCTCAGCGGCAGAAAACTGAAAGAGTTCCCCAGGAGCGCTCTGAACCACGATCTGTCCGACACGGTGCAGGCAGGTAAGACACAGGCGCACCTTCTCCACCGCCGAGCCCGGCGCGTAATGCGTCTGCTGTCCGTAAGCCGAGTTCTACTCCCGTTATTGACTGGGCTTCCCAAACTACTGCGTGATATGTGCCGAAAGTCTTGAAGGGCTACCCGTCGGTTTTTTAAACCGCCTTCCTTGTTTTATTTTTACAGATCATTGATATTTTCAGAGTGCAGAAGCAGAGGGTGTTGATGATACATGCTTCTCTGCTACTGTTTGTACTCTCCAGTTACTGTCGGGCTGTTAAGACTGCATCACGGAATGTGCGAACGGCATTAGCTGTGGACAGCGCTACGGTTCTCCAAGTTGGTAGTTTCTGTAGGAAAGTAGTGTTCATGAGTTGGAATCAAACGATGTTTTCTTGCTTTTCGCGCTTTAGTTATGCAATGATGGGATAACAGGTTAGATTGAACGCCATCACTTAGGAGAAGTGGAAGTGATCATGTCCTCTTCTTATTTACTCTGCGCGAATGTGTACAGGATGTCCTGGAATTTCCCTGTGAATTCCCAGAAAGGACCAATTATCAGTTTCACACATCACAATATCACCATCGTTTTTTTTAAAGCAATCTAGTTTTATATTTTTATGCCGTTGAATTCATACATACTTTTTTTTTCCTGTTCATTTTATTCTTTCGACCACTATATAACACGAGCCCTTTAATGTAAATAGCTCGTATTCGTGGTGTTCGGGGCGGGGGGGCGTTTTAAAAAGTTATTGTTTTCGTACATTTCCTTGATAGCGCAGTTGACAGTGTAGCTAACGTGGCTGCTTGTAATTTTCGGGTTTCTCTTTGGAAGGAACCGCATCTCGCAAACGCGGGCTCTGCTGCTGCGGCTGACCGAGGACAGTTCTTCTTTCAAGAACACGATTTCCGCGGCGGTCGCTCACAGCGCGTCGTGATCCTCTCTGCGCCGAGTGTTATTTTAAAAGGGAAGAGGAGAGCAGGATCAGCTAGGAAAGCACTTCGGGAAAACTAAATTTCCTCAGCCTTTGGCGTAGCGGAAACACTTCGCTCTGCTACACGGGGCTGCTGTACAGCACTTGCTGTACTCCTCCTTCAACAGGAGAGGAGGTGAACATCTAGGTGCATCAAGTGACCCGGCCAGCAAGCCGCAGAGACAGCCACAAGCTCCGGGGCGGTAGTGAAGTCAACTCGCCGTGCTTGTCCTGAGAGCGCAAACCCGCTGGCGTTTAGTGCAAAATGACTCAGACATACACTCATCTTGAGTGTGCAAGCGTCGACGTACTTCACTTCATAGCAGCTGAAGAACCACCCGGGGACTCGTGTAACACTAACAGGAAGGCTGGTTCGTTGTGCCGGGTGGGGCACCCCCGTTGCACCGTGTATGCCAAAATACTGTACTCACACAGCTTCAGGAACTAGTGGGTGCAGATATAAGTCACTTTGTTTGAAAGCTTTAGCCAAATAAATGAATTATCGTAAATACGCCGGGCTATATAGCCGTTAATAGAGCAGCGTGCTTTGGGAAGTTTTACAGAATTTGTGGTGGGAAGGAGGGGGGGTTTCTGTTTTGGTGGTGTGTGGGTGTGATGTCTGTGTCTTTTAATTTTCATTTCCAAGCAGTGGAGCACTTAAGTTGCAGGAATGGGGCACATATGCATATCTGGTAAACCCTCTGTTTGCAAAAGAAATACTGTAGAAGGTTTCGCCTTGTACAGCACAGACATTGTCCAGTTCAGATGGTCCAGGGTCCCCTTGGAGGACTGAAGTGGGGAGGTGTTGCTTCATGTCCAGTCTGAAGTGAGGCTGTCACCCCTGTCACAGACATGAGATTTCCCAGTTCCTGCCCACCAGCACACCTTACCAGTAGGAAAGCAAGAGATTACAGGCCAATTGTGTGTCAGACTGCATTAACAGGGTATAGTGTTGTAAGTTGTGTTTGTATCCAGGTTAATGGAAACCACCTGTATTGTTGAGTTAGGTTTTACTTCTGTTTTCACCCTGACTTGTTTACAGGAACCAAGCGAATAGATAAACATGCCAAAGAAAACCCCCCGGCTAGTGAAAAAGGCACGGTCACATGAATCTTCAGTGCTAAGTCCACAGTGAACAGGTGAACGTGACTTACACGCGTGTTGACCTGACATGCAGCTCAAGTGATTCTCGGGATGTGATCTTGCATCCCAGAACCGGGAAAATCTAGGAATGTATCCCATTGATACCTGCAGCCATGTTATTAAGGTGTTCTATCTGCTCTCCTCCCCACTGAGAGCTGGTGTGTGGGGAGCGTTCTGGCGCATCATCCAGGTGGGGCTGCACACTTGTGGTGGTGGAGGGGATCCCCATTTCCTGTAAAACGCTCTGAGTGGAGTGTTCAGAAAAGCGCTTTGTAAGTGTAAGGATATTATTATTATATTTAATATTATTTTTTATTATTGATAGATGTATGTTTATGCCAGGCTTCTGGCATTGATATGAGGTATATTTCGATCACACTACTGGGAAACTTGTAATCTAACTTTTTTCTTATGAGTGATATGGCTTGCCGTATCACTTCACAGCAGCGTGGAATGCCTGTTTGAG